ATCGTTGACACTTACAAATATTCAAAACATTTCCATAAACTTCTTTTATATTCTTTATGGCTACAGAGGTGTTGTTTCCCTTCTTGTATTCAAACAGCATTACATGCCAAATGTGTGTCATCACTATAAGGGATTAGAGTATACTAAACTTTACACATTATATAGACTACACTAATGTGATGTTTAGGTGGTTTGTTTAACTATTATATGGGATGTATATTTTTGGGGGGTTGGTTAATGAAAGTGTTCCAAAGTGCAACGTTAATTTCTTGACGACCTAATAGTTCATATACTTTCTTTTTTACTATTAGCAACGCACTTTATTTCTTTAGTGTAAAGTATATCATCTTCTATACCTTGCTTCCTATTTCAAATTGCTTGTTGACCTGGTTCTCTAGTCTCCATATATCTGAAAACCCTAGGAAAGAATGCAAACTCTATAAAACTTCTCTAATGAAGCAAAGATATTCTTATTCCAGAATTCATTATCTCCCATTTATCTTTTCAACTTGTATAACTGTAGGTGTCCACAATACAAAATCGCAACTGCTCTTGAACTTGATAATAGTAGTTGTTTTTAAGAATAAGATACAACATTTTTAAGTAGATGAAGGGCTTTTTGCTGCTATATTTTTCCTAGCGGGTTCGAATCCCCCTCACACCAAACATGCTCGCCCTTTCAGCTGTGGGGGCGTTATAATGTGACGGTCAATCCCACTATTCGTTGGTAAAAGAGTAGCCCAAGAGTTAGTGGTGGGTGGTGATGACTAGCTGCCTTCCCTCTAGTCTTACACTGCTAAATTAGGGATGGCTAGTGCACATAGCCCTAGTTTAGCTTTGCGCGAAATTAAAAAATAAAACAAGCTATGTCCATAGTTAGCTGAAAATATATTTCTTCTTTTTAATTCACACAATTTTATCATGGTCAGAGTTAGCTGAAAATATTTTTCTTGTTTTTCATTCACACAATTTTATCATGGTCAGAATTAGCTGAAAATATTTTTCTTGTTTTTCATTCACACAATTTTATCATGGTCAGAGTTAGCTGAAAATATTTTTCTTGTTTTTCATTCACACAATTGCACTATGTCCAGAGTTAGCTGAAAAAGATAGACCAATGTTTCATCAAAACGCGTCGTATGTTATTCCAAAAATAAAACCACTTAATTATGCTTATTAATCATTGTTTGAAATTTAATATCACAACACAGTGTAAGCATAGATAATTTCAAGGTCCTAACTTTTGACACATCAGATCTTTAGTTATTGACAGTAAAGTGGCAGCTTTTTTTTCTGACCTTGTGGACTACAGTATTTTAAAATAAAGGAGGTATTAACAATAAAAACTTTTGTCAAAGTTATAAGCTTTTAACTTAACACTCAGTGTTATCACTTTCATTTAGGTGGAGAAAACACAGAAAAGATGCAGAATGTACTGCAAGAAGTGCAACGACGATGGGAAGATGTCCAGGAAAAGATGGAAACACAAAGAAGGAGGATTGAGGGATTAGCTGAAGCAGCACAAATACAGTCTGAATTAGATGTGCTGGAAGAGATGTTGGAGTCACACAGGAAGTGGCTGGAAAAGGCAGAGATTACTCTCCGTCATGGACAAGTGGAAGAATTGCGAAGGATAGCAGATCAGTGTAAAGTGAGTGTCTGAAGTCTTTTATTTTTTTAAATACAGAACTCTCAGAGAACGTTTTTTGTCTAAATTGTGCATTGGTGCTTCTTTTCTAAACAGATCATGATAGTTGTTTGGTAATTACACTGCCACACATACAACTACTTGTGTAGGTTCACATGTAATTTGTGTCATTGCACATCTTTTTATATATATATATATATGTGTGTGTGTGTGTGTGTGTATATATATATACACACACACATACATATACATATATATATATTAATACAAGTTTTAGTATTTCAAAACTTGTTTTCTTTACAAATAAAACTTAGTAATTCTAATAATGTATGTACTTAAAAAGTTTTAGATTGTGATTATATAATGGAATTTCAATTTTTAGTAAAATATAGTAGATGAAACTTAACTATCGTTTAAAATCCAACAAACAAGTAAATTCATTTAAGTATCTGTCATGTGGTATTAAGTTCTTAGTAGTTTGTAATACATGTTGTGTTTTATGTATAGATAAGAATTAAGTCCTTGCAAGGCCAGGAAGAAAAGGCATCACAACTTAGAAAGCAGGCCAGAGGGCTACAGAACCAACCCTTTATGCCTGCCACATTACCTGTTACACAACAGCTTGATCGGCTAGTTCATCGATGGGATGATATCAGTTATCGGATGGGTAAGTTTAGGGTTGTCACTTGAAAACAACAACTGTGGTGCTGGTTCTTTGTTCTTCTCTGTGATTGTTTGTAACGCCCATTACTGATATTAAAAAAATGGTAGTAGCATTTGCAACGTTTGTGATGCAGTTAGAATATGCAAAAGTTTCTAATAATTCTGATGCAAATGTAAATCCATTCTTACAGCTAAGCTGTGGTATAGATAATAATTTCAAAGTCAATCAAATTGTACATGTATCATTTAATAGTATTACAGAAGTCTGAAGTAATGAAATAATTGGGAACAGTATATTTGAAGATTCAGTTAGTTTTATTAAAGAATTCTACACACAGCTAGTTTGTTCAAAGTCTATAATGTGTTTTAGTGTTGTTTTTTTACTTTGCTTATTACCGTAATGTAGTAGAGGACAGACAGCAATAACTATAAAGTCACTTCTATACCAGTAATCTCCTGTTGTGATTCAAACTTTTATAGTACTAAGTCACAAGTAAAAATCTTTATATGGACCCACATGTCAGAAGGAAGGTTTATTCTTTCATACATGTATGTGAAATACTTAATGGCAGTTTGGCTTTATCTTCATTAGATTTAAATACTCACAAATGCATAAACCTTGTAGGGGAACTGGAACGGAGAGTAGGTAACAGTGTAAATCACTCGCCACCACCCAAGTTTCTAGAGGCAGTGGAGGCCTTAGAGAGTTGGCTGATGAGTGTACAGCAGGCTCTGACATCAGAACAGTTTCACGTGACTGATATAGAGAAGTTAGAAGATCAGCTACAGAAATACAGGGTAAAAACAAGTTTAGCTATTTGTTGTTGTCCATTATAATGAAAATTAAGTTATTTTGTATTTTTAGCAACAGTTGTAACTTCATTTCTATTTTTAGTTACATTTCAATAAGTGGCTTCAAAAGGTTTACATGTTTTGTGTTAATAATAGTTTCTGTTTACAACTGACAGCTTTTTGAATTTTTTTCAGTAGATGGAATGTGTTTTGAACAAATGGATCATTGTTTCAGCAGTTCTACCATTTTTATCCAAAGGTCACATAAAAGTTTTTCATAAATTAGAAGAAATTCAGAGAGTTTAATATGTAGACAGATAGATTGAATGAGGAAGAAACAGCATAACATTGATTATAATGATGCAGTGAACCTGATTACTTCAGTAGTGTTTCACATAACAAAAGTTTTATATATTGTTAACATTTTAATACCCAATTGTTAAGTGTTTTAATGAGCCGTATATTATAAAAACACTGGTGAATAACTAAAGTGTGTGGTTGGTTAATACAGAGGTATCATTTGTAGCTTTTCAGTAACACTCAAGTTTATTGGTTCATTTGGATTGTGTGTATAGTGTAGTTCTATAGTTTATCTCAGGTGAATCATAGAGCTAGATAGAAAACTAAAAATAAAAATTTCTGGTCACCAAATTATGAATGATTCTTGTGGTAATGGTTTTGAAGGAGCTACAGACCACTGTTGAAGAAGAAGAGTCAAATCTTCAGTATGTGAACAACACAGCTGAAGAACTGTTATCTGGACAACCTGAAGCCCCTTGGCTTGCTGATCTAGAGCGCCAGCTGAGAGATTTGAACGCATATTGGAATGATGTCTGTACACTACTGGATGAACGACAAGATCGAATAGAAAGAACAATAGCCCAACTTAAACAGTTTCAGGTTTATAAATTTTTATTTCCATGATTTCTAAAGATATTTTTAAATATTTGAAGTTTTTTTTTAAACTAATAAAAACTCAACCTTTTATTTTAACATGATTCTCATAAGTTTAAATCTACATTTTAAAAGCATTCTTATAGCTTAAATTAGTTTTGGATGACAGTGGACAATTTATATTTAAAGTGCGTAAAGACTTATAATCATTACTTTAAGTGAATCCATTTGATAAAAATTATAATAAATCCAATATACAGTTTGACACATTTGCATTGTTTTGCTTGTTTGTTTTTTTGCTTATAAACTTACATGAGATTGTAAAATACTTTTTTCTGACACATTTTATATAGTTTCATAGTTATAATTCATTGGAGAATTTATCTTCCCCATGATTATGAGAAAATAGAAAGTAATCTAGACATTAATCAAATGAAGTATTTTTTTACACAGTACAATGGAAAAGGACTATAAATTTGTCCTATAAATTTAAGAGAACAGTACAATGGAAAAGGACTATAAATTTGTCCTATAAATTTAAGAGAAGTTTGTCCAATGAATTGAAAAATAGTAATAAAATAATACAAAATTTTAAACTGTAAGTTGAAACATTTTCAGAAGGTTTATAAGAAAAAAACATTATGTCTGAAAAGAAAACCTACAGAATTTGCTTTTCTCTGCTATAAACACTAGATTCGAAATTTCACCTCAAAACACAAATTGTTTAGTTGTATTAAATTCCAAAAAATTTTTAATTAGTCATAACCAAGATATTCTCATACATGATACAAAGCAGTTGTGCAAGATTAGAAATAAGAAACCCAATAACTGAAACACTTTTTTAATTATTCATAATCAAGATATTCTCATACATGATACAAAGCAGTTGTGCAGGATCAGAAATAAGAAACCCAATAACTGAAACACTTTTTTAATTATTCATAATCAAGATATTCTCATACATGATACAAATCAATTGTGCAGGATCAGAAATAAGAAACCCAATAACTGAAACACTTTTTTTAATTAGTCATAACCAAGATATTCTCATACATGATACAAATCAGTTGTGCTGGATCAGAAATAAGAAACCCAATAACTGAAACACTTTTTTTAATTAGTCATAACAAAGATATTCTCATACATGATACAAATCAATTGTGCAGGATCAGAAATAAGAAACCCAATAACTTAAACACTTTTAGGAAGTAGACCTTCTTTCTTCAGGAAGTAAATATTAAAGAAAGTGTTTTGGGTTTTACTTTGTAAACCATAGTTATATTATCATCCCCTCAACGAGATTTGTTAATTATGATATGTACTTTTGACAAGACTAAAATTTTATATATATTTCTGAATTGAGAAAGGAGTAAGCAGACTATTCTAAAATTATTAATATATAATTTATTATTTGGTCTTTAGGAGATGCTGGAGAGTAAAAACAGTTGGAAGCTAAACTCTTTTTATTTAAGACCCAGTTAACATTCTTAATTTCTTATAGACATTCTAATTACTTTTGATTATTTTTGAGACTACAGTAGTTAAGTTAGATTAGTTTTCTTATCTTGTGCAATTGCAGTCCATGTTGTTGATGCTAGACTGGGCTTGCATTTGTTTACTCTATTGCTGCAGTGATTAGCATTTCTTTATTTGAAAAATGCAATCTCCCCTCTTTATTTACATTGGGAAATTAGTGTTAAAAAAATGTCACATAATAACAATAATTGAATAGAGTAAAAATTAATGTATTAATAAATAACAAAAAAGAAAAATAGCAGTAGATTGCTGACTGGATGCCTCCCTGTAGTCTGTGGTTCAAATATTTATTACTTTTTCATGAAAAATTCAGTTAGGCTTTGAAACACATTTTTTAAAACCCCTCCTATTATTGTAGCAATTCCCTTTGCAATGAAAAGTTCAGTCTTTGTCATATTTATCCCCATGGATCATATTTGGAAGCATAAAAAATTATTTTGGCTAAGAATAAGATTAGATGCAGGAAGAGTAAAGCCAGTTAGAGCAGCTTATAGTTATTGGAGAATCAAATAAAATATAATGTTACAAGTATTGGATTTTTATAACTTGGAATTTTATTCCTTAATCCAGGAAGAAACTGAGGGTTTAACCAGCTGGATGCTTGATGTTGATCTGTTTCTTCATGCAGAAGAAGCAGCCATTGGAGATGTTGAGACTCTACAAGCTCAACTGGAACAGAGTACTGTAAGATTTATTTTTGTTTGCTTTTTTCTTCTATTTTTTTTTTCTTACTTTTCACTGACTATTCATGTTTTATTGAAACATAATTTTATTTCTGGTTAATAAAATATTTTGTAATAAGCCTATTTAATAAGTACTCCATATTTAAATAAGAATATCTGCTTTCTATCTTCCTAATTAGTATTGATTTGTAAATAAAAAACTGTAAGTTATATTTGTAAGATACATTTAATCATACAGTTACACACACACATACAGACTTTGTTTCGTTATTGTATAATGAAGTAGCTTTAAAATTTCACCTTAATGATGTGGTTTATCTGGAAAATGGTGTTAAGGTATCATCTAAGTATGCCCAAGAGTTTTTGTGTTAAGTAATACCATACCTGTACCTGAAACAATTTGTTGTGTTTTATGTCTGATAAGTTTTTGTTGTATCAATCTATGAATATATAACAAAAAACACAGTCAGTGGTGTTTTATTTCTATATGGCATAGCCCCATACCAAAGAAGGCTACAATGCACTCAGAATCTCACACAGACATGCTGGGTGACATAAGAGCAGATTCCTGGGGTCACTGAGCCTGAATCTGGCACTGGATTTTGTATTCAGGATCTCAGTGGAACCATTGTTGAAACTGTATTCATACCCTCTTCACAAGCTCACAGGACCAAATTTAGCATGTGTGCTCAGGTAACATGAGCAAGTGTCCTAACGGGGTTCTTTTTCAGGTACAACCCCCCCTTCCCCTGAAGCAGCTAAAGCAGTAATTGAGGATATTGAAGGAGCTTGATTGGTACACTGGGGCTTCTCTGAGCATGGGTATTTTATGCTAGTACATATAATCTATGAATGTGATAAACTCACTAGACTCTTGGTTTTATAATCTGTACCTTTATCACAACAAATAGATTAACAATGCATCAAAGTATGTGCTTTTTAAATAAGTAAAAACGTTATATCTGAAATTTTTTGTGTGATTGGTTTGCCCCTGTATGTTCATTCAAAGAATTGCATGCATTAGTAGTGATTGTGTTATGTAATGACTCATCTAGAATGACTCAGCAAAGTTTCATTGAAGATATAATGATTTTTGGAGGTTTATGTCTAATCACTCAGCAGATACAAAGTGTTAATAACTTTTAAATACAATGGAATACTTTTAGTGATTTCATATGTTCATTTTATACTTTATAGAGAATTTAGAAGATAAATTACTTTTCTTCATGTGTAGGCTTTGCAAGATGATATTAAAACTATTCAACCTAACGTGGACAACATCAACTCAACGGGCAGAGAGCTTTTACAGAATGCAGAAGTTTCTTTCAGCAACAGACTTAAAGACAGACTCTCTCAGTTGAATGAAAAGTGGAACACCGTAAGATAATAATAATTGTGATTTATTGTGTATAGAATTGTATATTCATAACAATTGTATCTTTAGTACTATACATAGTATGTATAGCATTCCATCAGATGAGAGCTTTTACAGAATTCAGAAGTTTCTATAAGCAATAGACTCAAAGCCAGACTTTCTCAGTTGAATGAGAAGTGGAACACTGTAAGATAATTGTGATTTATTGTGTATTCATAACCATTATATGTATAGTAACTTACACAGTATGTATAGCTTTCTATCAGATTAGGACTATGAGAGCTATTTATGTATGAAGGAGAGTATGTATTGGGAAAATTTGATTCTGTATTTCCTGCTAATTTCATTTAAAATTCGGTCCAAAAGCCAGAGAAATCTTTTACAAACATAATTAAGGAAATATAACAAAAGAAGAAAAAAATAGCACAAAGGTTGAACCCAGAGAGAAGATTCTAAAAAAAAATGACCTTGTCTTCATTTAGAAGTATCCCAACATTATTGAAAACATAAAACAAACCCTTACAAGAAGATAGAAACAAGGCATCTGTGTAATTCCAAGCCTGTCGTGAAAAAGGTTTATATTGATGAAACAGGAAGAAATATAAACACAAGAATCACAGGAAATAAAAGAGTTGTTAAGAATGGAAATAAAAATACTTTTACCACCCATAAACTGGAATTCATCCAGACTAATCTACAATACAGAAAATTACATCAAACAAGTATCATTGAGAGTTGTATAAGTAGTGTGACACTGAATGTCAACACTTATGAGATTCATTTTTAACTAAACTTTTCTCATCACATGCATCCTACAGAAAACTCAAGATCGAATTTCACTGTATAAGCTGTGCTCATTCTTTGAAACATCATCCAACCAAGGATGGTACATTAAAGTGCCAATGCTAGTATCAAAGTCTTTGTGTCAATGATCGAAAAGTATTGAGTGTAGTTTAATTGTAATTAATATACACAGTATTGTGTACTTTTCTCTAGGAGTTTTACATTAATATGCTTTTTATCTTTTTTGATAATAGTGAAAAAACAAAAGTATTGGTTACTTTGTGAAAGTTATGTTTTTATTGGTAAAGCCCAAATACCCATTAATAAGATATAAATGTTTGTTTACATTAACTAAATTCAAACTTCAAGAATTAATGTATTTTGTGTATTTGAAGGATCTTCAAATTTACTTCCTTGGTGTGTTAAGTATAACGGGCATGCTGCAGAATTACAGCTTGATAGCTCAGCATATCATTGTCTGTAATAGCTTTAAACCATTTTAATTATATACTCATCCTGTGGCAACAGTTTTACAATAGTCTCGAGTACTTAAAATTTGTCTAAAAAAAACTTTTTTTAAGGTACTACGACCTGCTCAATCAAAGAACACCAGTTTAGAAGATCAAGTACTTAAAATTTGTCTAAAAAAAACTATTTTTAAGGTACTACGACTTGCTCAATCAAAGAATACCAGTTTAGAAGAAGCTCTGAGGAAAAGCCAAACTGCAGTTTCTGGTATTTCAGAGTTTGAGAAATGGCTTACATCTGTTGAAGCTGAGATGCCAAGTGATGAATCAATCACTACCTCGGTTGAGTTACAAACTAGGACAAAAAAGTTCCAGGTAATTTATAGTGTGTGTGTGTGTGTGTGTGTGTGTGTGTATGGTCAATTTTTAAATACTTTGTATATCAGTTATCCAACTTATGTTGGTTAATTCACAATTGTTACAAGTAAACTTATAACACATACAATATAATATTTAATGAAACAGTTTATCTTGTGTTTCTTTCATAATGTAAAATAATGTAAAGTCTTTAGAAGCAATTAGTACCCTATATAGTGTATTTCATTTTTGATTTATTTTTTTTTAGTAAATGTTATTCAATATGGATGTAACAATGTACTGTTTTTTAAAATTTTAGTCCTGTTACATGTATACAGGAAAGTATTTTTATAAAATATTGCAAATGTTTGTACTAATAAATTAGATACGAAAGATGTTCAAGTATCATGATTATCCTGATAAAAGAAGAGTTGTACTGGATAATTTTCAATGTCTACAAAAGTATCAAATTATTCTTCAGGATCATTTTGAGATTTTGCTATTTATATGCAAACCAAAACCATATATACATCTCTTATTTAATAGACTGACCCTGAATTTACCATATCTTGATAATCATAAATACAAGTACCTTGGTTGTTTATAAAATACCTTTTGTAGATTCATTGCCATTTTGTATTGTTGTATATATGAACATGTTTTAGGGATACTTTAAAACATAATGTTAGTAGCATAATTTCCTGATCTCCATAAATGTACTTATATAAGATACTTAACCAGTTAGAGAGAGGTTAAGTATTTGGCTATAAAGAAAACATAATTGGAAAGCTACCCCACAAATCTCATAACCACTTCTGGTAACACGTACAACAAAAGTTGTATACATTATTTTGAACTTTATGTTAAAGCACATAATTTTTAATACAAAAACGTTGGTCTACTATTAATTGTGACACTGAATTACTGTGGTTATAGAAAATCTGTAAATCTAATGCATTTTATAAGTTTTAGTGATGTTTTGTGAATTTTAATGTTGCTCAACTTAAATGAAGCTTGAAAGCAGATAAAAAGTAATTCAATGTTTTCAGTGAATATCATATTAGACATATCCACATGAAATCCTAGAAAATGCAGTAATCTAAGATCCTAAGAGTTTCAACCATAATGCCAGATTGCATGAACTGTTTTGAGCATCCAGGCCATTAGATTAGGTTTATTATTCTAAATTTATGTATTAAATCTGTGTTATAAATTGATTATTTGATGAACCTATGACATGCTATCAAATCTAGTCAATCAAAACCTAAGTTTCAAAAAAATAAAGAGATGAAGGATAAGTTTTAGAAGTTTCTGACCAATGAAGGTTATCATTTGAAAACAGGATACGAGTTGAATTCACAGATACTTTAAATCATATTTTAAAAGACTGAAGACATTTTGTATTGGTTTGTAGGAAAATAGTTTTAAGTAAAATGTTGACTTGGAGCTTCGGAAACATTATGTATCTTCTATTTTCTTTAAAAATGAAACTTTTCTTATTGCTTAATGTAAAATTTTAAATAAATAGAGACAAGTGTATATTTAATTGCTGATTGTTTTCTTCCCCTTAATGCTTAAGGAAATGTAATTGGTGAGTGTCTTATAAAGTGTTTAAACTGTTTTGTGTTGTAGTGAGGTATTGTGTGTAGAATATGATTTGGAAATTCTTTTGATTACTTTTTTTTATTGTTTTTGGAGCAAAGTAATTAGTAAAGCACACATTTTTTTTTATTCCTTATGTATGTAGGTGTGTGTGTGTGTGTTTATATATTATGATTTTATACCTACAAAACACTACAATAGTTATATTATGAGAGTAATTGTTGAATTATTTAAAAAAATATTTGCATTAAATTTTGTTTTATTATATGTAGCAATGAGAGACACATGCAAGATAAGGGTGTAATATTACTTGAAGAAACATGTACAATAATCGTGAAATACAAATAGAGTAGGTTTCTACTACCAATTCTACAATTTACATTTTATGAGTAATAATATCTTAAGTTCTTCCATTTTTAATTATATTTGTACTGAATGTGATCAAGACCTTGTTACATAATTAATTTGTCTTCCTGTTGCTTTTAAAACATTAATCAAATCACTTCTAATTATAGTCTAAGGAAAAAGTATTAAAAACTTATTGTTGGCTTAATTATTATATTTTTAAGTGAGATTTTTACTTGAAAACACAACATAAAACAATCTAGAGAAATTAGAATTGCTGAAAATAACACAGTTAATAAAAACTCTTCAGTTTACATGACCATTTTTTTTATTCAAGGCATTACAAACTGATAATGTCAAAGGTTTTTCACCACCTTTCATGAAATTATTTGGTGATAAATAAATCTGTAACATATATCTATGAGTATAGAACATACTGAAACATATAGCTTCTGTTGAAAGTTTAAATTTGTTAATGTTTATATTAGATATAAAGGAGAAATTTCTTGTGTTGTAAATATTTTTTTAACAATGGTATTAGCTACTTTCAAAATAATTACTAGTTAATCTTGCAGATTTAAAAATAATGTTTAGTAATTATTTTCCTCATGATATAACAGATAGAAATGTAGGTTATCTTAACTAAAAGGTTTTGGTTTGTGAGTTTCTTGAAAGCTTTAAAAAATAATCTTTTTTTCCTTATATTTTTATAGTGTGATCATGATTTTAATATTTTTAGTCACTGACTTTAATTGATTTATTAGACATTCTTCTTTTAGTGGAACAAAGGCTTACGAAAGGTGAATACATTTGTTAATGTTTCTTTTCCAGTTGATAAAGGACAAATTAGATGCTAAAGCTTCAGACCATCGTCGTCTAAAAACTGTCATTAATGATATGCTTGCTAGAGGCAGGACGACAAGATTAGAAGAAATCTTATCACAGTTATCAATGCTTAACACACGTCTGATTGAGATGACAAAGAAAGCCCAAGATTCTTTTTCAACTCTAAAAAAGGCAGCAGGAAAGTATGCAGAATTCAGAAGTAAGTGAAAAATTTAAAAACGTTATATGTATTTTGAGATTTAAAGTTAATTTTCTGGTATTAAAGTGTGTTTGATAAACATGTAATATTAAAACAGAATTGCCTTATCTTTTTATGTTAACATCACAGTTGGTTTGATGTTAGCTGAAGGTTCTGGAAGGTTTAGGTGTGTTTAAAAATATGCAATCCCAACAAGTCTAATGATGTAAAAAATCTAAAGTATTAATAATCCTGAAATGATCTATTTAAATATTAATTCAGTTTATTTAAGAATGATGTATTATTTCTGCAATAATGATAAATTCTAACAGGCCTGATGATGACGGAGAAAGATTGGCTGGATCGTCTAGAAAGAAAGTTGAAACGTTCACCAGAGTCAGCAGCTGATGCTGAGGAAATCTCTGAAAATCTTGATGTATGAATTAATTTTCATTTTCATAAGAATATTAATAAAGGTTTTACCTTCTTCTTTGCATATTTTATTCTTGTATTAAAAGTCATCGAATAATAGGATTGTATGAATAGTTGGAAGAAATGTACATTTTTGTTATTTAGAAGAGAAAACATTAATGTTGAAATAAAAGTGAACTAAATCATTTTCTTTCACAAAATTGTGCCACTAATTTTTTCTCTAGCAATGTACATTTTTGTTATTTAGAAGAGAAAACATTAATGTTGAAATAAAAGTGAACTAAATCATTTTCTTTCACAAAATTGTGCCACTAATTTTTTCTCTAGCAATGTACGTTCAATGTAATAGGAAGCACTTCACAGGGAGAATTGTGAAATTATATTAATCAAAATATTTGCTCACTTAGTTTTATTTCTTTCAAATTGTGAATCAAATGCTGTGGTTTTGTTTTTTATTCTCAAGTGTTTCACAACCTTTGAGATGTATCAATATGTAAGGTATTCAGTGAAATTTTGGACTAGCTTTTTCTGTTTTTTTTTACATCTTATTTTGTTTGTTATAATTATCAAATACTTATAATGCATTTTGCTGTTAAGTGCACTTTTTACATCTTTATATTTCAATTTTAAAAAAACGTATTTGTTAGGATTTGGAAAACTTCCTTCGTCATCACCCTCCTGATCGTATACAAACCATTCAGAATATTGCTCAGACTCTTATAGATCAGAACATCATGGCTGCTCTGCTGCAGGAGGAAGTTGATCTAATTACAAAGCGTTGGAACACTTTAACTCATCAGGTGATGAATAATGAATCATTCACTCAGATTCATTATCTTTGTTACTCCTCAGTAATTTTTATAAGCTGTTTTTCCTTGGTGAATTCATGGAAATGTGAGCAAAGCATTTTAATTTATCAATTAGATTATTACAAGATATAAAATATCTAACAAGAAAAAAAGTCTTGATTCAGATTTAACACTTGACTAAAATATAAAAATAATTATAATGATATTTAAATAGTGAGTGTAATGTTAGGAAAAGATAAGCAACTTGAACTGAAATAATTCAATTTTGTTTTTAGGTGTTATCCATAGTTATGAAAGGTTATTATTTGCAGCTCTTCCACGAGTAGTATTTAATTTAGTTACTTATATCCCTTGTGATTGTGAGGAAAAGAATAATATATCGGTTTGTGTGTATATCTTAAATTCTGTACATATTTATCTGTGTATCAGTTATCCAACTATCATATGGAAATTTGAAATAAAAATGTACACAGAAAATTCGAGAATATATAGATAGGATTATTGTCATATTAACCAGCTATTCTTGAGTGCATTCATTAGCAAAATTAACTACATTACTTATGTTACAGTGTTAGAATTAAAAGAAAATGATTTATTATAATACTCTCTTCATCAGTTTACATGATGTATGAATTGGTGGTTAATATATTATATGGACTCTAATATTTTCAGGGTGGGCGAGAGAAGTGGTAATTTCAAAATTCTTCTATATTTTGATACACAGAAAAGTATCTGTTGATTGTAATTAATTAGATGGTTTTCTTCAATGTAATTCATGTTTGATACTTTTAAGTGTAAAATATTACTTTTATATTCATATTTTCTTAAATGTTTTCAGGATGTTTTATTTCATTGTTAACAAAGATGAGAAAATAGTAGAAGTACAAATTTTATTTGTTTTGCAGGGAAGGGAGCGTCAGCAAGTTCTGGAAAGTAGGATTGCTCAGGCTCAGCAGTGCGAGTGTCAGGTTTTAGCAGTTCAAGGTTGGATCACCCACATGGACACTGTATTGCAAAATAGGCTAGACAGTGACATTTTAGCCCAGGATGTGCCAGAGGAAAATGCTGTGAGCAATAATTTGGATATTTTTTGTGCTTTAAAGTAACATCTTAGCAGTTTGAGACTTGATGAGATCGTCAGGAAAAATACTTTACTCATTAAGTAAGCAGTTATATAAAGATTTAATCTGTAAAAAAAAAATGTATGTTTTCTCTTTGTTTTTTATATCAAAAACATCTTTTTCTGATATAAAAAGCTAGTTAACATTGGATAAGGTAAAAAAATTTAAATTAAATAACTTATTATGACAAAAAGTTTTTGAGTTTTAAAAATTTAAAGGTAGTAGTATGCAGCTTTCTCCCTCATTGTGATCGTACAGATTGTGAGAAAAGTCTTATACCTGGCCTAGTATGGCCTGGTGGTTAAGGCACTCAACTTGCAATCTGAGGGTCATGGGTTCAGATCGCCATCACGCTAAACATGCTCACCTTTTCAGCCATGGGGGCATTATAATGTGGTGATCAATCCCACTATTTGTGAGTGTAAGAATATCTCAAGAGTTTGTAGTGGATGGTGTTGACTAGCTGCCTTCATTCTAGTCTATCACTGCTTAATTAGGTATGGCTAGCTCAGATAGCCCTTGTGTAGTTTTGTGTGAAATTCAAAACAAAACAAACCAAAAACAATCTTATATGTGTTTTAAGGAAATTGATTAATAAAAAAAAAAGGAATATGAAAAATTACTTAATATTATATGAAGTTGTGTCCAGTAAATAAAGAGGTGAATCTAACATTAAACAAAAACATAATTATATTTAAAATTAGTTATAACTATAAAACTACACTACAATATTTTATTATTTATAACCAATAGAAAGCCAAGTTTTTCATCTATCAAATGTCATATTATATTATGTTTTCTGAACAGAGAATTGTCAATTTCTCTTTATGTACAAGTTTCATTCCTACGGGAAACATATCGACTAGCCTGGATGAATTTTTAACGGATCTTGTTGCATAGTTAGAAAGCCAGAAAAACTGTCTGCTTTTCACTTCTTATTATTCTATGTTTTTGGTGCACTATTTAATTAAATAAAAATTATTTAGTGCACTACTACCATTAAAAAAAAAGCAAAAAAAAAGGAAGTCCAGGTGAGTACTTTATTTCTTGTTTTTCATATGTATTCTTTATTTATTATTACAAAAGTAACTAAAATGTAAAAATAGGAATATCTTTAGGTTAGTATGTTTAGTAAGTATTCAAATATACCTAAAAAATAAAGGCAGTTTGTTGAAATTGGAAAGATTAATGATGATATTAGATTAATATTATATTTCTGGTGCAGTACAAGTAGATTTAATAGGAAGACTTGAAATATATTTCAAGACCTGCTATTTGACTGTTAGCTTCAAATCTTTCTTGCAGCAGCTACAAACTGAATTTGCTGAGCATGAGGCAACCATCAAGAGGTTAGAGAAAGAAGTAGAACAGTACAGACACCAAGGACGTCACGAAGCTTCCCTTCGCTTAGAAGAACAGTTACGATTAGTGAAAGTAGGTGGCATTGCCTTTATCACTTCCATAATTTGATTGTATATGATACTTTGTACTTTTGTATATTTAGATATGTAGACAGATTTTAGTTTTCACTTTTCTAAAACTTACTTCTTAGCATTGTTGTTAGACAATGTACAGAAATTTATTACACACACACAAAATGTAAAAAGTTTTGAAACAATTACATTTCTCTAAATGAAATAATTAAAGTAAATCATGATGTATAAACATGGGAATGTACATGTAATGTTTTTAATTTGATATTTTCTTACAGGAAAAGTCAGTATAACTAATATGTTTGTATCAACCTGCATGACCTGTTAATCACTATATAGAGTGTAAATAAAATAAGATGTGGTAGTTTCAACTTCCTAGGCCTATTAAGCATTGAACAGTGTAAAATATGCCAGGATGTCAATGTATCAATTTACGAGGCCTGTTATCATTCAACAGAGTGTAAAATACACTAAGATGTGGTTGTATCAACTTGCTAGACCTATTGATCTTTCAACAGAGCATAAAATACACTAAGATGTCTTTGTACTGTATTCATTTATCAGACCTATTAAATTAGTAATTAAACAGTGGTAAAATACTAAGTACAGATTAATCTGAGATATATACTGATCTCTTCTCCCAAAATAGATGTATATAATGTAAAAAAATATATATGTATGTATGAAATATATATATAAAACAAGCATCTGTAAAATTTTGAATATAAATACTAACATAAAATGTGATGTCATAGTATTATCTATTCCTATTAAGGGAGTGCCTTCATACAGACTGAGGCAATAAATAGAAATCAAATAAATATAAAATTACAATATTTTACATGCATTTGTTTTTCCAGTATTATTTCATAATCAAACAAAAACGTCTTGGAATTTTGTTCATTTTAGCTAGCTTTTTTAATTTTCTGATGTAAGCAGCATACAGAAATTAACCTCATGATGATAACAGTAAAAAAAATGCTTTTATTTTGCAATCAATAAAAATATTGAAATTCTCAGATTCATAAAAGAATTCAATACAATTAACCATAATCAGTGTAAATATTTTTATTATGTGGTGTCTTGCTGCTCTGAAAGTAGCATCACTTACAGGTGTTTTAATTTTATCTGTTCACAAGAAACGATTTGCAGAGCTGAGTACCAAATTTTGCAAGTTCCAGAAACCTTCAGATTTTGAGCCAAAACTAGGACGGGTTGTTCGAATGCTGGATGAAGTGGAGCAAGGCCTTCATCTACTAGAAGTGACAACTGATGACCCTGAAACTTTGCAAGACAAAATGGACAATTGTATGGTAAGTATTCAGATGTGTTGTGAAGATACCTGAAACATTATATCAGTAATAAAGAATAAGATGAATGTGTCAAGTTTTGTACATGCAATTTATCTCTCTTGACCTGGCGTTGCCAGGTGGGTAGGGTTCTTGACTCGCAATCTAAGGGTTGTGGGTTCAAATCCTCATCCCACCAAACATGCTCATTCTTTCAGCCATGGGGGCATTATATGGTGATGGTCAATCCCACTATTTGTTGGTAAAAGAGTAGCCCAAGAGATGGCAGAGGGTGATGATGACTAGCTGCCTTTCTTCTAGTCTTTCACTGCTAAATTAGAGACAGCTAGTGCAGATAGCCTTCGTGTGGCTTTGCACAAAATTCAAACTAAACCAATTCCCTCTTGTTAAAGGCAGGTTAAAGTGTGCGTGTCACAAACTTTTAGAGAATTATTTTCAAAATTTAATTAAATTACTTTAAGATCATGATATACGAATAAACTTGTCATAAAACTTGGGTGTCATAAAATATAATCTGACCAAAAGCAGAAGACATACCATGTGACACACAAAAATCGATATTTAGAAATTTCTTTTTAAGACTTATATTTAAGTTAAGAAATTAAATAATGTATAATACTAAAATTTTAATTCTAAAGTGCAGTTTGATGCCAAATTTATTGACATACATTCATAAAATAGAAATTTAATAAAATCTTGAATGCAAGTTTACAAATATGATGACATTCCCTTTGATCCCTACCTGTATGGAAAGAGTTAATGATCAATTGTAGAGGTCAAATCTATTTCATATAGGGCATAGCCTGGTAGCTAGGATGCTCGAATCGCAATCTTTGGTTTGCAGGATCAAGCCCAATCGCCAAACATTATTACCCTTTCAGCCATGGGGGCATTATAAAGTAATGTGCAATCCCACTATTTGCTGGTAAAGAGTAACCCAATAGTTGGCGGTGTTGACTAGTTGCCATCCTTCTATTCTATGACTTCAAAATTAAGGACAGCTGGAGCACGTAGCACTTGAGTACCTTTACGTGAGATTCAACAAACAAATGAAACTTTGCCAGGTTTAAATTTTAAATCGTAGTTGTGAATTAACTCAAGCAAATATCTAGAAGAGAGGAAGCTTTTGTATTTATGTGATGATAAACATGGTTAGGTGACTATAGAAATTTAAATACCCAGCACTTATTCTGTCATCTCATATAATTTGCAAGTCAAAGAATCATCATCCAAATTGATGAAGAGACATACCCAAAGTGCATTTAGTTTTGATTTCAGGTGTTAATGCTACAGGCCTGTGAATTTAAATTTTATAAAAGTTGTTTTTGTTTTAATAATGGATTTTCAGCTATGCAGATTTCAAAAATAATATATATTTTTTACAAATTGGGAAGAAAAACAAACTCTTATTTAGATGAAATTATTATTTCGTTTACCACAAATGAACATTTTTTATTATTATGTTTGTTAAAATTCCAAACAAACTGAAGAAAATGGAAGAACATTGATGTCAAACAAATATGCAACCTAATTCATCCTTAGGTTTTTTGTGAAATCTACTTCTTTCAGTCTCAAAACTATGCGTTGTGGTCTTCTTTTTTTATGTATTGCAATATGATGTTCTGTGAAAAATCTCTTCGTGATGGAGAAAAATGGATATCATTTTCAGATTCAGCATACAGGAATTACTGTAGAACATGTAAAAAATATCAAGACAATAAAATCATCATAGGCCTGTGTTATTTTTATTATATTATTTGTATGCCTCTTTGCATTTTGATAGTTTCATTTGGTTGTATTGCATCTTTAATTTGAAAATCATATCAATATTATCTTCATTTTAAAAACAGGCTTTGTTGTTGGTTATTTGCTCTGAAACTTCTATTAGAATATCATAAAGTTTTAAGCTGTATTTTTTTTTACTTCTTTGTACATATAGAATATTCTCCTACTGGTACAGTTTTTAAGTTTTAAAACTTGTTAAAACTGCATTTCAAAGATTTATTTTCTTATTGACAGTTTTTTTTACACATTTTAAAAATTAATTATCTTGTTGATGCACTTTTGCATATAAAAAATTGTGTGCAACACTCTTTCCAAATTTCAAAGGATTAATATAATACTGACTCTCTTTCACCAAATTTTTATCCATGTTCTTTGTCTTCATTGTTAGCATTTTTACAAACTCTTGAGTGACATCAAGACAGAAGTAGAATTGGTCATAAGACTAGGTAGACAGATAGTAGAGAATCAGCAGACTGAGAGTCCCAGGGAACTCAGTCAACGTTTGGATATCTTGAAAAGTCGATACAACCAACTGGGTGCTAAGGTAAGTACTTTGTTACCAACCATTTATCATCATATTTATGGAATAAACAGGTGTATAATGTGCAGAAGACACAAAAAATGTTATTAATTAGCATTTCAGAACATATTCAACTTTCATGTACTTTTTTGGCACTGGGAATATATAAATTGGCCAGTAGAAAAACAATTTATTGTCTGACTTAATTGTATTTTAATTTTATGTTAAATTTAACTGTATTTTAAGTTTGATACTTTTTTGAAGGTTACAGAAAGCAAGTCTGTGTTAGAAAAGGCGCTGAAAATAAGCCAAAAACTAAAGACAGAAATGAGCATTCTTCAGGAGTGGCTAGACAAAACTGGCACTGAACTGGAGCAGAGGAAAAGTAGGAGAAGTTCTTTGGATATTCATGAAGAATCATTATTTGCAAAAGTAAGATATATTTTATTCAATATTTTTAGAATTTGAAGAAGAAAAAAAAGAGTATAAAATTAAAAGTAGACTAAAATCACATAGATGAAGAACATGAGAGAAATCTTGTAAAAGGAAAATCTGTAGCCAGGAAAATATGAAGTTTAACCTATTTTGACATTTCACAAATTTTCATACTGACACAATTTGCAAAATCTCAAACTCATTAAAAACTCTTGTACATTTAAAAAGCTTCAGTAACATTCATAAAAAAAAAAATTACTGTACTTAAATATAAGTTGATGATTACTTAAGAAGTAACAAAACAGAATTATCACTCTAGATCATGAAAAGAAACATTTCAACAATAACATCATTATTAAAAAACAAGAAGGTCCTTTATATTAGTCCTTACATTATTTTAAGGAGATGTAGTTAACTGAATACAGATTTTCTTTGCTTTGGGCTCGGCATGGCCAAGTGGTTAGGCCGCTCAACTCGCAATCTGAGGGTCGTGGGTTCGAATCCCCGTCACACCAAACATGCTCGTCCTTTCAGCAATGGTGGCATTATAATGTAATGGTCAATCCCACTATTCATTTGTAAAAGAGTAGCCCAAGAGTTGGCGGTGGG